GGACTGAATCATTTTCCAGGCTTTAATTCTGCGTGCACATCATGCTTACAGATTTGGATTACCTTGTATGCAGACTGTTGATTCCTCACTTCTCAGGCAGATGCATTCTGACTTTAAAGGAAACACCCCCGAATTGTTCGCCTTGTACAGCATACTTTTGTACTGGTTTACTGGGTAACTTCCCCCACCCCCTCCTCCTTTTCCCTCAAAAATATTACATTGGATCTCAGACAGGAAAGCTGTTTCTTTATTAAACTAGTCCCTGTTCTTGAGAAAACCATGTTTTAGTCAGTATAATACTCATTGTTCATTTAAAGATTTTCTTCATCGGACATGAGCATAAGTGCTCCGTTCTCCTCCTGAGTTTGTCTCCAAGCGTTTACTAGCACTCATCTTTTGTTTAAGCATCATTATTTTACAAAAAAAGTCCACTTCTCATATAAATAAGATAAATTAATGAATTCTTTCCATTACATAAGCACATCAAGCATACGATGCTGACTCATAATTGTAATATGCTCTTAGGCAGTTAATGCATGATTTGTCTTTCAATACCATGAACTGTATTCAATGCAAAATATACAGCTTCAATTTATTCTGCCCCAAACAGGTCCCTACAAATCGGTACATCATATATATTCTATAGTTACAGATCAGGAACATCTTAAATAACTAAAACATGTTCAATCAGTTTTCTTAACTACCTTACTCGCAGATAGTTACTGCTTTAACCTACTCAGTCCAAGCTGTTATTTTCTGCTCTACATTTTGCCTCCAGTCCTTCCATTCCAGGCATTTACTTCTTCTGACTCAAAGTGTTACTATTTTTCAACAGCAATTGTCTGGAATAAAAGAGTTGATTGTTTATCAATTCTAATATATTTTGCTAATTAAAAATTGTCATACATTTGCAAGGGTATGCTCAAGCACTTAGCACAGCAGTCAGCAGTGTTAAGTTTGGCTAAATTCTCTTTGGAGGGGTGAAAATTGAAATTAGGTAGCCTGCCAACCACCCAAGTCAACACCACGCCCCCCGATGCACGGTGGCAAATTGAAACTGTGAGGTTTCAGGTTAATTGGGGGCAACTGCTTGGCTGGTATGAGACAGGCACCAACAGGTCGGTTATTTCTTATTCGGCCACGAAAAATATAGGTACTAAATATAGAAAAATATCTAGGATGCATATTTAGAGAAGACGACAGACTCGACAGAGAGATGGAAGCCAGAGAACAAAGGTCAAACTGCTGTCAGCTGCCAGCTAGCCCCACTGCTTAGACACCCAAATTTCTCCTTTCCAGCAAAACAGCAAATGATTAATAGCATCTTCATCCCTATTTTATGTTATCAGTGCGACATGTGGACAATAAATAGAGCACTATAAGATAAAATAACTACATAAGAAGTGTGCTGTATCCGTAAGGTCACTAACACAAAAAGGACATGATTACGAATACTATAATTGGAGAGAAAGTTGAATTATATTGACAGAATAAAGAATGAAATGGTTTGGACATCTAGTGAGAATGCAGTTTGAACAAACTGCATAAGAGATTTTTTTTCCAAGCAAAACGTCTGGGAAGAAGGCAAGGGACAGACTAAGAAAGAAACGGATATATGGTGTCGAACCTGCACACAGATGAACAAATTCATAAACAAAGTTAACTGAGAGGCCTAAGTCAAAGACTTGACATACAAACCGCCTACAAACTTTATGAAAACTACCTTATGTCACATCAAATTTTAGCCTCTCCATCTGAACCTAGATTTGAGACATATTAATGTATTTATCTAAATCTATATTTGAAACCAATTAAAAAAAAATGTAATAGAAGTACTTGTCTACAAACTATACCCGAAAATGAACAAATATATGATCATATTTTTCTATATACATGAATGAACATGAAAAATCATTTCCAAATCTATATTTCAAAATAAATGAACATATTACATTCCCTTTGTTGTTGTTGTTGTTGTTGTTGCTAGCCAAAGTTTTAAAGTGTTTCATTTAGTAAACAAATAAAAGAAAATATTAAAAGCATTATCTGGGATCTGAAATCTCCCCACCAAAAGAACAAAAAGTATATACATATATAAATATATGTTCAAACATGTTCTTTCTTCATTGTGTAAATAAAAAAAAAAAAAAACAGAAATAAACAAACATAGGATTAGAAAATATACAGCTGTGCACAAATAAAACCAGTCAAAGAAATACATAGAACTAGAATACTGTTGTAGCTTGAGTACTGACAATCAATATTTCATCAAGTTAATCAGGAACTCTGATATTCTGGTTCCATTGATTTTCTATATCCATTAGCTTGTAATCTGTTATATATTGCTCTCCCTTTTAAGCTCCTGCATTCATTAGTAAGAAAACTCATAATCTTGCTTCTATGTAATATTTTGGATACATTCAATTTTTGTCTGGTACCAAAGTTGATTATTTCACACAATGTACACGTTTCCACTTTACATTTATTTCCATTGTATTGTTATATTACCTCCTATCACAGAATATGTATTTTACTTTCTTTTATATTATGTTGGTTTTATTTTAACTGACTCGCCGGTAATAAACATTTATTACTTTAACTCCTTTAGTGCAGGCTTAAACTGTCTACATGTTCTACATGAAATTGGTGAATTTTAAAATCCAAAGACTCACACTGGTACTTTTGTTGGTCTGTTGGTTGCCTTATGCATTTAATGTGTGCGTATTCTTCTTCTTCTTTCGTTCGTTGGAAGTAAATAATCTATATCTATATTTGTGTGTGTGTTCTATTAGCCTCTTGGCTCCTAGGTCGACCCAGCTTTGAGTGGGTACCGAGTGCAGTTCTGGGAAGTAAAGGAGACTGGTATGATGCTGACCACATCACCCATCTTGTGCCGTTGGTCTATAACATATAGGTCTAGCCCTATATACCCTAGAGGCCTCTAACCACTATCTGAAAGACAGTATTCTTCTTCTTTTCTTTTTCTGCCTTTCTAACCTCCAATGTAGCAGAGGTCCTCAACCAACACACCACAGGTCATTCTAGCCTTCGCTATCGCATGCAGCTCTCATCTCAACCTCTTCATCTTTTTAACTTCACTCTCTAGCTCCCTTCTACGTGTTTATTTTGGTATTCCTTTATTTGTATTATGGTTATATTGTTCTCAGGTTATCCCAGCGTGTGTCCTACCCAATGCCGTCGTCTTTTCTTCACCTCTTGGTCCACTAGAACTTGTTAAGTACTCTCCTAAAGCTCTACATTAGTGATTCTATCATATCATTCAATTTCCTCCATTCTGCGCGGGCACCAGTTAATACATGTTTTAAAAGAAGTATGCCATGAAAATCCAACTGTAGTATTCAAGGAGTTTGTCATACGTAACAAACAGCTTTCTATATTATTGTTATAAATGGTATTTTCACTGAGTTTCCCAATATAACTGATTCATAAAGTAGGTACCTGGAACTTGTAGTTATTGGACGCACATCTAAATTTGGCCTTCTTGTGTCACGTAATATAGGATTTAAAAAAAAGAAAAGAATTGTCAGATAGAAAATACATGAAATAAATTAACAAAACTAGTACACAGCTTATCACTGTACAAAATAATTGCAACAGTAAAAGAACACTTTGGTTTATCACCTCCCCTGATTATATACATAACAAATAAACATTTTTATAAACCATTTAAACAACATATTTCACTATTAGCATAGTCCCTCTTTCTATGAGACATTTAACAATATCTCATTAACAGCTTTGCTAATTATACGATGGTGTAATAGGTATGAAGTTTAAAGGCCAGTATGTGACGTTAAAGGAGAGACATGACCACCACTGAGGACTAGTGCCGAGACCTTGTTTTCCCCCACTTTCTTGTCAATTCTTTATCACTTTCGTATAACTGAAATTAAAGAAGAAATTTTAATCAAACTGATTATTAATGATTCTTTGTGGAAAGAAAAGCAGGCACAGGCAATTCTGGGGTTGAAGCACGCAGGAAACATGCATGTCGTTATTGCTGAGCACAGACAAGGATCCACTACACAAAATATAGCCAGATTAGTTAGGGTGAAATTAGTAACTGTGTTCTTTGGGAAAATATAGGAAAACTCTCCTACTCTGTGTGGTTTTTCCTGAGTAAAGAAAGGTAGCCACCACAAAAGTAATAAATCATGATTGATAAGTGGAAATTAGTATGTGTTTTTAAAAACAAAAATCAGTGAAAACTCTCGTACAGTATTTCGTTTTTCCTGAGTATAGAAAAGGATCCACCACTAAAGTAACAAATCAGGATTAATTAGTGGGAGTTAGTATTTGGTTTTCTAAACAAAATTATGGAAAAATATCTCCTGCATTATTTCATTATTCCTGGATAGGGAAAAGGACCCAACAATAAAGTAATGATCAGGTCAGAGTGGGAGGAATTAGTAACGGTTTAAACAAACGAACAAAATTATTGAACACTGTCCTACTCTATTCAGTTATTGATGAGAAAAGAAATGTATCTACCAAACTGGGTAATAAAATACCAGGTTATCATACATAAAATCAGTAATTGGCCAAACTGGGTAATAAAATACCATGTTATCTTACATAAAATCAGTAATTGTGTTTTTTTTTTTTTTTTTAGAAAATGTATGAACAAATCTGGGCAGTTGTTTTTCAAAAATAGTGAAAATTGTAATATTGTTTTTCGTTATTCCTGATTAGAGACAAGGAGCCGCCACTTAAGTAATGATGCTTTTTTTAAAAAAAAAGAAAATTAGTGAAATCTCGGACTATAAAGGGATTATTAGGTTTATAGACTTTTCATCGAAATATTGGAAAGATTGGTGAGTTGGATGACCCTAGACGTGTTCCATTATCTATGAATGCTTGTCGTAGACAGGACTTAGAGGTGCATACCCCAACGTGCATGTGTGTGTATATAGAGGAGATACACGTGCAGTCATTGACAACCTATTGTTACAATGATAATTAACACATTTTCAGCTTACTTTATAGTGCTCTCTGTCTTTTTGGGCCATTATCCGTCTTTTCTTGCAGGGCTGGAAGGAAAAAGAAGTAAAAGATATTTTTATTTTTCTGAAAACTTAAGAACAACCCATTGTTAACATATGGAAAGAAGAGCAGAACGTGCATTAACTCTTTCAGAAGCAAGCAGCTCACCGTAATGTTGTTGGTATTGACCTGCATGTTATACCCTTCAGAGCTACTTGTACTTCCTCTATTTTTAAACTTTAACCCATTCTGTTGCAGTTGTTACTTCAGCTCACTGCATTCCATTGTGCAATTATTTCAGAGTTTCAAAGTCAAACAATTATTACTTTAAGCAATAACTACGTTGGAAAAGAGGAGTTAAAAACACAGTTGTCTGGGACTGAAATAACTGCCAATCAAAACCTGACTGGAAACTACAGCAAGTCAAAGGATTGTGGTTGGACAAAGAAGAATAAAATCAACATGGAGATGACGTTGTCAGCATTGCTGATTCTTATTTCTACAGGTAGTCTGTGTGTAATCAACAACAAGTCAAAGATCCACTAGAAACAATATTATGCTGGAAGTGTATAGGATGTGGGTTTGCAGCCACAGTCAGTCAGTTATGTGTTTTGGCATTATTGAATGCTGCTGCAATGGATCTCTAACAGAGTCTCTCCGAAACCGCTTCTCGCCAATCTCTTTTGCAGCATTGCTTGTTGGTGTGCCGGCCTTCATGACTGACTACTTGCATCAACAGTGAAATAACTACGTAAATGGTGGAGACGTAGTATTCGCACATCTGACGGATACATTTACTTTGCGTGTGCAAGCTTCACGATTTGGCTGGGACTAATGTTTCAAATAGCATAGTGAAGAACAATTTGTATGATGTCCACAAGGGCAGGAACGAATAGTTATGGGGTGGCCTGTCTGCATCGAAGTAAGAGCCTCGACTGAAAACTGACCCGCGTAACCTGACAGAAATATTGACCTATTTGATGCAGGTTTCACCAGTGTAAGCAGAGTGATAATAGACCAGATGTAGAACTGCAGACCAACAATGATGGGCCACCAATAATGACTGCAGAAGTTGAGGATGCAATACATCATATGAAGAAAGGAAAAGCACCCGGGCCAGACAACATCTCACTGGAAGAAATCGAAGCGCTGGGAGATTTTGGAATCGTAATAATAACTAAACTTTTAAATGATATTTATAATAGTGGGTATATTTCAAATGACCTTTTAAAATCTATATTTATAGCTCTGCCAAAGAAACCAGGCACTTTAAAATGAGAAGACCATCTCACAATAAGTCTTATGAGTCACATGACTAAGATTTTACTGAGAATAATTATGAGAAGAATAAGAAACAAAATTAAACCAGAAATCAGCGATGAACAATGTGGATTTGTAGAAGGAAAAGGTACAAACAATGCCATATACATCCTAAGCACATTGTCAGAAAGAGCTATAGAAGTAGAGACTGATTTGTACTTGTGCTTCATAGACTATACAAAAGCAATGGACTGTGTGAAGCATGAAGAAGTAATCAAACTGTTAGAAAAATTTAAATATTGATGGGAAAGATCTACGAATAATAAAGATAATGTATTGGCAGCAAACAACAGCTATAAGAATTAATAACTTTTTAGGTATATTTCAAAGCATAAAGAGGGGTGAACGACAAGGATGTGTACTGTCACAGGATTTGTTTTCAATATACAGTGAATATATAATGAGATCTTTAATTGGTATGCCCGGAATTGTGATTGGTGAGCACAAAACAAACAATTTACACTATGCTGATGACACAGTCTTGACAGCAACAAGTCAGAAAGAATTACAGGAAATGATAGACATTGTGGTGTTAGAAAGTGGAAGAATGGGCCTCAGTTTGAATAATGGGAAGACAGAAGTAATGATGGTATCAAAGAAACGAATTATTCCTAAATGTGTAAATAAATGTCGATGGTGTTATTTTAGGACAAGTACAGAAATGTAAGTATCTGGGCACATGGATAACATCAGTTGAAAGATGCATAACTGAGATAAGAAACAGAATAGGACACGCAAAAACTGCATTTTATAAAATGAAAAACATCTAGTGCAATATATCCTTGTCATTGAGAGTTAGAAAAAGAATTCTTGCTTGCTACATACATCCAGTTTTAACAAATGGCTGTGAATCCTGGACGATCGGTAGGCAGGCCAAACAATTTCTAGAGGCCTCATAGATGTGGTTTTACAGAAGAATGCTTAGAATACCTTGGACAGCCAAAAAGAGCAACTAAGAGGTTTTGAAAGAGGTGGGAGCCCGAAGACAACTTATGACAGACATCAGAAGGAGACAGTCATCATTTTTCGGCCATGTTATGAGAAGAGGGAAAATATAACATGTTGTGACCACTGGAAAGATCTGTGGAAGAAGGGATAGAGGAAGATAATGAGAGAAGATGCTTGACAGTCTTGTTGCATGGCATGGAGGTGTGTCGGCACACGAACTGATACATGCTGCAGGAGATCGCAGATTATGGAGAGGCATGATCGCCCACACCAGTCGGCAAGGCATCGATGTTGATGACGAGTAGAGTGATACTTTCTTACGTACTCTGATATATACTGAGGGATACGGCACTTACGGACGCCTCCACAGGTGTTAATTAACGTATTTGTCAGTGTATAAGACCATATGTTTTCCCAGATTCCTTAAGTTTGAATATGTTCACGGAATGCTATACAAACTTTTTATTTTAAAATTTTTTTTTTTATTAATAAATTTTCAGCTAACAAAAACAGCGGTCGTGTTTTACACGGGGGCGACTGGTACACGGACAATAAATTACCAAACAGCAAAATGACGTTAGGGATATTAGGGCGTAGACTATCGGGAAAGTTTTTGGGTCTGTCTCCTTTGATCACATCAAACTGCAAGAGTCCTTTTCAGGGCTACTTGGCAGCGACCAATGTTAAGCAGTGTTAAATGGCGCATATAACCTAAGTCACAATTATAACCTCGGCCTTCGGAGATGATGTTTGAACGTGACGATTTTATTCTCGAAAAATTAGACAGGCAGACACACAATATCTCTGCTGTTTTGTATCTAGGGTCTCTGAGGCAGTCACAACTGAAGAAAAAAAAAACCTGTTTCGTCAGGCCATGCAGGTAGAAGAGAAAAATTATTTTAAAAATAAAAAAATAAAAATAATATAGAGCTGCAAAAAGGGCTACTGTGGATTGCAGACGAGTGGTGAACCACACTAAAATACTAAATACTCAACAAGAAGCAAGAAGCACGAACCAATGAATAACTGTGATACGATAATCATAACCTGACTGAAAAATACAGCAAGTGACAAAGGCTGAGGCCAGATAAAGCAGGAGAAGAAGAAAAACCACACAGAGCTGGTGTCATCAGCTGCTAAATTCTGATGGGTATCGGATGCGAGAAATAATGGCTGAATAATTTCCTATTTAGTGATGAAGCTTAAAGTTTTAACAACAGACCAGCACACGGGTAGTAACCCATGAGTGCTCCTTTCTTCTTCTAACTCAAGTCCGAGTCTGAAGAAGCCCAGCAGAGTGAACAGACGCTGTTTAAATCACCACTGATCATTGGCATCATGAGAGCTAATAGACTTAATTGGTTAGAACATATTGTAATAATGCCAGATGACAGAGAAGTTAAAATTGCATACACCATGGAGGTGAATGGTTGTAGACCACGAGGCAGACCAAGAAGACGATGGAGAGATAATAAACAGACAGACCTGTAACACTTGGTGTCACCAACTTAAAAGAGTAGGCCAACCAGAGAGATGAATGGAGGTGGGTGATATCTGCAGCAATGAACCTCAAGGGCTCGAAATGCTGAGGAAAAAGGTATTTTTTACGTGCGTAACAATGTACACGGGCGTCCAATCTCACTACCCAGAGATCAGGGTGAATTACTAAAAGACCAAACCCAAGTGAAAAAATCCCAACCCTTGCCGGGGATTGAACCAGAAACCTATAGCACTCGAGAGGAAACCATGCCTCGAGACCACGCAGCCTTCCCTCCCATCGCCCATCCCCTTCCATATGTAGTGATGACGATCAGTAAAGTAAGTAGCTGATTTGAAAGAACAAGCAGGCTTTGTTGTTAATCTAGCTAACAAAGACCATGAAAAGTGATGACGAAAATAACCTTTCGAAGGAATCTATTCCACATTGACTTGTCAGATTCTTTATTACGTCTTTTGCTTTGTCTGTTGACACAAACGTTACTGGAAATATTAAGTTGTATTCATGTGCCTCTTACTTGATCTTTTAACGCAGAGGTTACACTGTAAATAGTTATACTAAACAAAAACTCGTTTGGTGTTTCTTTTTAATTTTCTACATTGTCGTTTGTATGGAACTGATCTTCTTTTCCTAGCTTGCATTGTGATAAACACAAACATGTCATTTCTTTTTTCACTTCTGTGATCTTATAGCTTCGCAAAAATTCTATTCTTCAAATAATACGCATAGAGGGAGATCAAATTACCCGACAGATGCATGATTAATAAAGTTATTATATGACAGGCCATTCAACATTATCGAGAACAGTAGAAGAGTGACGTGCACTCAACAACCTGGATGTATTTATGGCTGTGTGGCTTTAGTCATAATCGTATTCATTACCACTTTGTCAACATAAATGGGAAAATCAATTCTCTGTGAGTATTTGGTTTTATTGTCATACTGCCAACACAAGTATGTTGAAATGATTCTATAAATTCGCATTTATTTATAACAAAGCCATTTATATCTTGCAGATGAATACGTTTTAGTAGTATTATGATGGCTCTAACATAGTACTGAAGCAATTCATCCTGCTGTGATTCAATTTATATAAAAAATAGAGACCTTTAGCTAATTTTTTTTTAAAATCACACTGTTTGTTTGCATGTCGATAAAGGATGTTGTTATGTTATGTTGAGAAAATACTAATCACGGAGCTTGCCCAAATATTTGATTGCGCCGCCCAAGACCTTCCTCTTTTCGGTCTGTGACACTTAGTTCTACCCAGGAGGAGCTTTTTATATGCTGATACTCTTGAGATACAACTTAGCTTGCAGAACTTTGAGCCTATCTGCAATAGTAGGCAGTGCAAGTATCTAACATATACATACTGTCAGGGTTTCTCTTGTATATCACAGAATTACCCACATAGCTTTATTCGGTATGCGTTTAAGTTTCATCAGATGCCTCTTTAAAGCGCAGTATAAGACCCTGCTGTGTTCTAGGCATCAGATTCGGTAAATGTTTAATCCTATAAATGTAGTTATCAATTTTTTTATTCTTTGGTTGTAAGTGTGGGTGGTTCTAAGTGTGCATGGTTGTAAGTGTGGATGGTTGTAGGTGTGGATGGTTGTAAGTGTGGATTGTTGTAAGTGTGGGTGGTTGTAAGTGTGGATGGTTGTAAGCATGGATGTTCGTAAGTGTGGATGGTTGTAAGTGTGAATGGTGGTAAGTGTGGATGGTCGTAAGTGTGGATAGTTGTAAGTGTGGATGGTTTAAGTGTGGATGTTCGTAAGCGTGGATAGTTGTAAGTGTGGATAGTTGTAAGTGTGAATGTTGTTAGTGTGAATGGTCTAAGTGTGGATGGTCGTAAGTGTGGATGGTTTAAGTGTGTATGGTCATAATTGTGAATGGTCATAAGTGTGAATAGTCATAAGTGTGGATGGTCGTAAGTGTGAATGGTCGTAAGTGCGGATGGTCGTAAGCATGGATGTTCGTAAGTATGGATGGTCATAAGTGTGAATGGCCATAAGTGTGAATAGGCGTAATTGTGGGTGGTCATAAGTGTGGATGGTCGTAATTGCGAATGGTTGTAAGTGTGGATTTTCGTAAATGCGAATGGTCGAAAGTTGCATAGGTCGTAATGCGAGGGGAATGTGTTCCTAATTCATGATACAGAAGTTGGAGTTGACCAAAACATGAAAGATGGTATAAATAATAAAATATACATCAACCGTGATTAAAAGATAACGCTTTAAACAAACAAAGCAAAACAAAAACAACAAAAAAGACATTGGTATGGATACTCACAGACGAGATGTAAAAGTCAATGTTGCACAAAACAAAGGATATGGTATGAATACTTACAAATAGATAAATGATGATACAGAAGCCAAAATTGTTCAAAAGAAAAGGATATGATATGAATACTTACAAAGAGACAAATAATGATGCAGAAGCCAATGTTGTTTTAAAAAAAAGGGATATGATATTGTGACGTGCGTTGGCTTCATTGTGACTGGCGGCGTACCAAAGTGACTAGGGGGTGTCGCAATGTAACAAATGGCATCAACACTTAACATGCCACTGGCCAAGAGTAACACAACAATATGAATGCTGAAGCTTCCCAAACGTAGCGGAACGAGAACTCTTTTTTAAAGTTCCATTTGTGTATTGACAAATGCAATGATCAACACGAGGATAAAATATGCAAGTAATAATCAAGCACATCAACAAAAGCTCGCTCGTACATCCATGGACTGATATGTCCTCACGATAGGTCGCAGTTCGACCTTGAGATCCAGACGATTATCGTTGTCTTCGGCTCCGCAATCTGAATTAAGTAATGAAAGTATACCGGCTTACTGCCGAACTGTGACTATTCACCAGCTTCCTGCTGAGGTCTATCTTGGAGTCCCGGGGTAAAACGTCCTCAAGGATCCAACTTTATACAACGTTTGCTTCCGTGGGATCCCGGGGTAAAGCGTCCTCAAGGATCCACACGTCCGTCTCCTTCGGACTATGAACATCAACTGCAAAGTATACCGGCTTACTGCCGAACTGTGGCATCCCGGGGTAAAGCATCCTCAAGGATCCACCGTGGCATCCCGGGGTAAAGCATCCTCAAGGATCCACACCAGGGCCGGACCACCGTCCGCCTTGGTCAAACTTCGACTTACATCTCCTAGAATACAATTCCTTCACAACCTGACGTATTGTTTTGACGTCTTATTTTCTCACTCAGTACTGGTGCGTTCTGGTGCACATCCGCACGCGACAGATATGAATACTTATAAACAAATAAAAAATCATGATGCACTAGTCAATGTTGTACAAAACAAAGGACATGGTATGAATACTTCATCATCGTGTAGGAGGTCTCTTGGTGAACGTCCAACTCACCATGGCCTGTCAGAGAAACGCGGTCTCTTGCCAGCTCTCCCTCCTCGTGCACTTTTATATTCATAGACACTTATATTATGTGTACCTGTCTTCGTGGTGGTCGGCCCCTGACCCTCCTTCCAGGTAACACGCGAAGGCGTGCTATTTATTTCTTCCCCATTCTGCCATGGCACTTGATACGATCAAAGTATTTTAACTTCCAAGACATATTGTTGTTTATTAGCTAATCCTCTTTGATGTTCAGATCTTTGAAATAGTCAGTATTTCTTTTCCACTTTGTCCATGGTATTCTGAGACACTTCCTTTAGCATTTCAGCTCAAAAGACTCTATTTTCCTTCTTACGAACTGGGAGATAGTCCACGACTCACATTCGTATGCTGTTATTTATTATAGAGCCTACATATTCAAAGTTTGAGAAATTCTAAATTTCTTCATTACTTGATTGTTGTTTTAGGGTGACAGCCAGTTTTGTCTGTGGACATGACTTTTTTTTTTTTTTTTTTAATTTAAGAAAAGGTTTGATCTTCACTGTATTTTTGGACCGAAGGATTAAACGTTTTATTCACTTTACATTGTTCAAAATGTGGACTGTATCGTCTGCATAGCAAAGTTCTGAAATATTGTTGTCAACAATAATGAGCAAATGTTAACTGTCACAAGTCGGGTCTTTTTTTGACATTTCTCATTAAGGAATACATACAAACAGATAGAACATAACAGAGAAGCGAAACGTTTACAAAACAAAGGATGTGGTAAGAATACTTATAAATTGATTAAATAGATTAATCATGTACAAAGAAAAGCCAATGTTGTACAAAGAAAAGCATATAGTATGAATACTTACAAACAGATAAATCATGATACAGAAGCCAATGTTGTACAAAGAAAAGCATATAATAAGAATACTTACAAACAGATAAATCATGATACAGAAGCCAATGTTGTACAAAGAAGAGCATATAGTATGAATACTTACAAACAGATAAATCATGATACAGAAGCCAATGTTGTACACCACATAGACGACTCCTAGACAGATCAGGACGATGTTCTCTATGAAATCTGCCGAGCTGCGGTTGCTGAGTATTGTTGTGACGATACCATGCCATGTGCAAACCGCTGACAACATGATCATAGAAGCTAACATGTATTTGTCCTGGAAATATATGGCAAGAGTTACACAGAATACGTCATATACAATATAAGACATACAATATTGAACATGTACAGTGTTAGAAATATTCAGGGTAAGACATATACAATATTAGATATATATACAGAGTAGACATATGCAGTATAAGACATGTATAAGACATATACAGAGTAAGACATACAGTACAAGATAAATGCAGTATAAGACATTTACAGAGTAAGACATACAGTACAAGATAAATGCAGTATAAGACATATACAGTATAAGACATATACAGTATTAAACATAGACAGTATAAGACATATACAGTATAAGACACATACATTATCAGGTATAAACAGAGTTAGACATACAATATATGATGTATGCAATGTAAGACATTTACAGAGTTAAACATGATACAGTATAAGACATATACTGCATGAAACATACAATCAAAAACGAATACAGTATAAGGCGTATAAAATAAGACATACACAGTATAAGACATATACAGCATCAGGTATAAACAGAGTAAAACATAGAGCATATGATATATGCAATATAAGACATATACAGTATAAAACAAATACAGTATAAAACACATACAGTATATGACATATACTGCATAAAACATAAACAATCAAAAACGTATACAGTATAAAACATATACAAAATAAGTCAGATACAGTATAAAACATATACAGTATAACTCATGTACAGTATAAGACATATACAGTAAAAATATAAAGTAAAAGACATATACAGTATGACATATACATTATAGCCTAGGACATATATAATATCAGACACAAACAATATGAGACATATACAAAATAAAACATATACAATATTAGACATATGAAGGATAAGAAATACACACTAAAAGACATATGCAGTATAAGACAGACACAATAGCAAATGGTCACTGCTGCCAGTTAGAACTCTTGCTTGCTGTTGAAGTCACGGACAAGGCGCTTTTGGGAATGTTCCAAGTGCTATGATGTCGGGTTGTAACTCATAACCAAAAATTATTTAAAACATGAGTCTGGTATCATTCACCTACCGTAAAATTAGGATCCTTTACTTTTTACTTTTTGATTACCATTTTGTCACAATTACTGAAAATATAACACGACACTAAAAAATGACAATAACATGTTGACAGCTACACACAAATGAATACTGACACGACAAGTTTGGAAAAAAAAAAAAAACACAGTGAAACCACGCGCGAAAATATGCCAAACAACACAAATACAGACGTGTAACTTACCATATACGTTAAATACGATATCCTAGGTAAGCTTTGATTGACAACTGACTTAAAAGCAACGGCGGTTAGTACTAGTGTGAAGGAGAGTTGGAGGCGGTTCTGTGGTAATGCCTTGTCTACAGAGAAGGTGGCGAATGACAAGCTGCAAATAAGAAACTGGAGACAAGCACAATTATTACATTACGTTTTAGTAAATGTAAAGAAAATAATGCTACTTCGTATGACTATTACCTTGCTATGGAGCCCGCTGTGTTGTAGCGGCTAGACGCTCGCCTGTCGATCTAAAGGTCAGGGGCTGAGGTCATGGCAGAGACAGACTTTTTCCTTTAACATGACCTTGGCTCCCTGGTCGATTAAGCTTTTAATAGGTACCAGGTTGACTCGTGGGAAGTAAATGTGGCCGGCGTGATGCTGACCACATCACCCACTAAGTGTCGATTGGACTATAAAATATAGTTCTACACCTAAAAGCGTGGGAAAGGGTTGTATACTTTTATTTCACTATGTGATGAAAGAAACAAAGTTTTTCCACCTGACTGTCATATTTGCTACATTCTTCTTTCTTTTTTTTTTTTTCTGCCTTTTATACCCCAGTGTCCCCGTCTGGGTTCCCAGGTTCATTGTGGGGAGGGCAGCAAATAGACACACTGCCTTACCATCAAGCATGTTGTAGAAGACGACTAACTGAAGGCAGAAGAAGATGGACGAGGAGGAAAAAAGTGTAGAATAAGAGGGGGAGAGAAGAAGAACAAACAGAAGAACGAGGAAGAGGCGGAGGAGGGGAGAGTGGGGAGGAGGAGAAGAAAAAAGAAGAAGGAGAGTAGGAGAGAAGAGGAACAAGAACAAGAACGAGGAAGAGGCGTAGGAGCAGAGTAGGAGAGAAGGAAAAGGAAGACATGAACAAGACGACGAGGAAGAGAAGAAGAAGCAGAGGATGAGGAAGAAGAAGAAGAGAAGAAGAGAAGAAGAAGAAGAAGAAGAAGAAGAAGAAGAAGACGAAGACGAAGAAGAAGAAGAAGAAGAAGAAGAAGAAGAAGAAGAAGAAGAAAGAAGAAGAAGAGAAGAAGAAGAAGAAGAAGAAGAAGAAGAAGAAGAAGAAGAAGAAGAAGAAAAAGAAGAAGAAGAAAAAGAAGAAGAAGAAGAAAAAGAAGAAGAAGAAGAAGAAAAAGAAAAAGAAGGAGGAGGTGAAGAAGGAGGAGGAGGAGAAGAAGAAGAAGAAGAAGAAGAAGAAGAAGAAGAAGAAGAAGAAGAAGAAGAAGAAGAAGAAGAAGAAGAAGAAGAAGAAGAAGAAGAAGAAGAAGAAGAAGAAGAAGAAGAAGAAGAAGAAGAAGAAGAAGAAGACAGATATAGCTTGATACAAATAATTGGCATCTTTCCGTCCTTCCAGACGACAGTGATGTTGAACTATGAGGAGATATAGGACTCACAGCCCATGGCGTTGGCCAGTGTGCGTAGCAAGACTCGTTCACGTTTTCAAGTCGTTCACAATTATAGCATTAGATTTAAGGACAGTGGTGTTAAAATTTATGTTTAGTGTGTTTCAATTTCTGAAATAATTTTTTTCCCCTTTATTCTCAAGGCAACAAGCCATGAGTTTGTGTCTGACCCACGAGAGCATTCAAATCACCAAGTGTGTAGATGTCATCAGATTTAGCAATTGCCTTCACTGCTTTATTTAGTTCCACATAAAAAAAAAAAATATCCTCTGCATCCTCCGTTGACGTTAGAGTGGGTGCATTGCAGTAACTTCTTCTTCTTATTCTCTTCCACCTTGTACCTCATCGAAGTGTCGGTGGGAGATGTAACATTCGTTGATGAGCTCTGTCAAGAGCACTATTAGGATTGATGTTCATTTCTGTAAGGATGTTCTTAATGCCATCACTCCATCTTCTCAGAGGTTATATGCAGTAACAAGGGTGATAAAACCCCTTGAGGTAGACAATCGTAGATATTATCTTCTGTTATTTCATCCAGCTGAACTCTCAACTGATCCTAACGGTGTATTCTTTAATGCAAATCCCACACTATATTTCTAGATTTCTTCACAGTTTCTGCCTTTCAAGAAGAATGTATGGTTTTTTTTCTCTAACAGACTCATTCTCTGGCAACAGTATTTCCTGCAGGCCAGCAATTTGTTTGTCAAGTTCGGCGGCATCAATGATGGCCATTTTTCTTACATCACCGACGTTTTCAAAGTCATTGAAAAACCTAGGACACATAGTGCCTGGCCTGCCCAGCAAAAGCATAAGTTTTTCAAGTTGCGTTTCCTCTTCCTAAGGTAGCGCTAGCATCCTCCCCAATGCGCTCCTCCGCCCGAATCCGTTGGCACAATATGGGATGTCAGGTTTAGTATACGCCGCCAAACATTTAGTGTTGACAGTGGACGGGTGGTACCGGCGACTGTTATACCGTAGCTCATTCATATCTGACCAAGACCTGACAATATGTGGATACAAAACTGAAACCATAACAGTCCTACAGCAGCCAGCTGAGGTGGTTAATGTATGTTTGCGTCACACTGTCTGTAGCTGAGCCTGCTATGTGTTACACACGGAATGAGAGACCAGGCATTCATTGCATGTCATCTCTGTCAAAGTCTCCCCATAGAAACGAATGCCTGGGATACAGAGGGAGCTTATATTTATGATGTGGGTGGCATGGTTTCTATGGTAACCCACATGAAAGGGCACAGGAACCAGAGGGCAGATATGTTTGAGAACGTCACTTCCGCCCCCCCCCCCCCCCAGACCCACGCGCTCCCTATCCTTAAAATATTGTAAAGGGGCTAAGTGACACCCCCGCCCGCTTTTTTTCCCTGTTCCGCTCCCACCCAACCAAGTATAAATGATGCACGTTTGAGAAGGTTTTTGTTTATACAATTTTATATTGTTAGAAATGCATGTTTTGTCACCCACCGCACATAATTTATTATTAATTATTATTATTATTATTATTATTATTACTATTAGGGCATAGACCGATTTAGACACTAACAAATGTGTGTCTTTTCTTCCTCACAGCTTTCTTTGCCAGCCCATGCTTACAATTATGTGGAATACAAAAGCTTGAACTCATGCAGCACAAGTAATCAGTTATAGATGTGGCCAGAATTCTTCGCTGGGCCTGACGCCTGTAGTTTTGATTTTTTTTTTTTTTTTTATCCACCGTTTATCCAACATGGGAAAGGGGTGGATTTACTGACTGCAGACGCGCATGTAACATGAACATACATTTCGGATAAGGAACATATTATAAAGTCTACATAAGAACTAGAATAACAGGGATAGTACCCAAGAAATAAAGAAAATTTGCAAAATGGCACCAATACTGAAATGTAAGCATGTGAATATGAACACTAAGAGAACAATGTTTAACATCATGTTGTTATGCTATCAGAGTCTAACATGGACACTGTCTTCAGAAAACAGAAGAAAAATATGAACAAAGAAGACACAAACAATAGATTGTACAATTTATTGCCTGGCATATTTTGCTGTATCTCATCAGGTGCATACTATAGTAACAATTAGTGCATCTCTGAACAGTGATCAGAACATACATTACAAAAAGTACCAGATGCGCAAGCGAACATTGTCATTTATACTTACAGTAACCATAAAAATATTCCAGATAAAGTAACCGGGGCGTCTGGCCGCTCGGCTTTTGACGGAAATTGCCGAACGTCGAGCGCTTGGATCAAACTGGTCGATCATCAGTTCTCGTCTTATACACTCCGTATGAGCGTACAGATGCCACTCTTGCTCATCCACGAATGACTGTTTGTTGACCATGTGTCTACTCTCAAAGTCCTCCACGACTTCCACTTCTGTATAAGGGAACTCGGAGGCAACAGTCACCGTGAGATCCTGATGACAGAACAGATCAAAAGAAAAACGGTTATTATTGCCGTAGCGTAGTGTAGATCAATTGCAGAATTATGCAACTAATTGTTTTTTTTTTTTGGATTAAAAAGCCAAATATACCCGAAGAAAGGCCAGTTCTGTACGGAAAAAGGTTAAAAGATCAAAGGTTAAATAAGACTGACTTCATTGCACTGGGTTTTATCGCATTTGGCTCGGTCTCTCTCCAAAGAACGGCTAACCGCCTGCTAAAAGAAACCGCACAGAGTATAAACTCAGTAGTTCCGGCGACGATCCCTAGGTATTTCCGTGAAAACAGCACCCGTGAATTGAAGCGCGCTACCCTGAAACGAACCAAGGACCTTCTGAACGCGATTCAAACAGCTTGACCACTTCAAGGAATGACCTATGTGGCAATTACTCCTTTTCACACGACATATTCTTATTCTTCTTTGCGTTCACAAGCTGTAAACTCTAGGGGAAACTTCTGGTTGTTTATCCAGTTCTGGACTGCAGTCCTGTTCCATAACCTGAGTGTTGCGTGTGCATCCGTTTAACAAATCTGACTCATTTCTATGCAGACTGCTGGTTCCTTGCCGCTCAGGCAGAATCTGCCGTCATCCTCACAGTCAGAAAATGATCTTCTTGTATCTATTCTCTGACTTTTGCAGTGAGTTCATCATTACAAACAGAAATTTGGCGCCCAGGTCTAGGTGCATTAATAATAATTTCCACACCACTTTTGAACTGTGAATGCCACCTACAAACTTTTGCACGAGACAAACAATTATCTCCATAAACTTGTTGCATCAATTCAACTGTTTCAATGGCGTTTTTTTCTGAGTTTTTAACATAATTTAATGTTAGCTTTTTGCTCAATGCTGATTATGTAACAATGCACCTCTGACTAGGTAAACAAACTGGCGGCTTGTTTGTTGTCTGCCTATCGACCGACGATGAAACGTTGCCACATCATAGATGAATGTTACCTTTTTAGATGGCGTTTTTTCTTGGCCATAATAAAATCAGTCTTATTATTTAATTGTCGGACGTTGTATGTAAGTCATTCCACTAGCAGGGCATCATCGTGGCTGCTTTTGGATACTCAGTTAATTGATTTTGTGTATTCGTGTGGTTTTGTTTGGTTTATGTATGTGCTATATGAAGGCTCTGTAGCCACAACGTTAACGTTTCGTTTGTGTTTGTTTTATAGTGAAGCTCGGTGATCTATTTTTCATTCCATTTTATATTTGTCAAACATACGAGAAATATGTGCTCTGTTTATAATGGGTGCCTTACCTGATTTGTTTACACATGTCCCATTACACGCTTCAGCAAAGCTTTCTAAACCTTTTCATACTGTGATACCTTTACTTATTTTTTTTTTTTTTAGATAAAGATAATTGTGCAACACAGTAATTCCGTCAAGTATAACACCAGAGGGGACACAGGAACATCCCTAAATTGCGTTTCCGAGACACATATTCACACTGTAGCTGACACATTATTGTGTCGCCACATGTGGTTTGGAAAGCTCTGAGCTACAGGGAAAATAAACACAGTGTATGTACAGGTCGACATCATTGCTTTGATCTCTTGTGAAATTTAAAATGTTTGCTAACACAGTGTCATAATTCAAGGGTAAACTTCAAGTACTGGATTTAGGCATAAGCTAACTAACCTTCAGCTGCAGAGCCTCACAAACTGTAGGAGCTTTAAAACAAATTCAAATTATATTTTTTTCACAAACGCAATGTTGGTCTAATAGACACAAAATGTCCCAGACATGTTCCTAGTTATTCATATTATTTTGGGGTATTTAGCCTGTTTATTACTGTTGCATGACAAGTGCAGCGACCAGGTGACAAACTCCTTGTGGTCCGGGTTCACGCTCGGGGCTAGGCAGAAGAGCCAAATTTCTCCTAGAGTTACGGTACCTAGCAGGTAATCAAGGCCGAAGGGTTACGATGTCCATAGTACCGAGCCAAAGGGTTTACAACTCATGGTTTTTGGATACTTAATCCCGTCCCAACAGAGGAAGCAATTTTTAAAGCCCTACTCCGGCTGTAGGTTGGGGGCCCGAATATAGCCTTCAAGATGAGCCGGTTTCTGGGACTTGTGCCCGGCTGATCCTCATCCGAATGGTGACACTTTGTGTCACCCGGTTTTGGTCGCTCGTTGTACGGTCCTGGTGGGGTTGAACCACACACACACAGCCTTTTTCTTCTTCTTCTTTGCGTTCACTAGCTGTAGACTCTGACGGAATGTTCTGGTTGTGCATCCACTTTTGGACTGCAGTCCTGTTCCAGCCTGAGTGTTGCGTGTGCCTTTACAGATCGGACTCATCTGTATGCAAACTGCTAGTTCTTTGCCTCTCAGGCAGATGCACTCCGAATACGAAGGAATTGATCGACACTTACGACATGCTTTTGGGTAGGCAGTGGGTCGTTTCTTGTGTTCCCTATAATAGAGCCCAGGAACCAACACAGGTAAAGGCTATTTAAAATGAATAAGGTGATCAACTTGATAGGCGTTAATTTCTACCTTTTATTACCTTCCATAATTACAGTCTTCTTAGATAATCTTGTGTAATATAAAATAGCAGTGTCATCAAGGCTTTATATAGCTTAGGGCAAGGTTTCTCAACCTACCGGTCACGACCCTTATTTGGGTGGCACGACCCTTTTACAGCGGTCGCTTAAGACCATCGTAAAGCACATATTCATTAAAGTTATGAAGAAAAATAATTGTTTGAGGGTCGCCACAACACGAGGGAACTGTTTTAAAGGGTCGCGGAATTAGGAAGGTTGGGAACAACTGGCTTAGGGCGTTAACAAGTGTAATTTCAGCCCTGCAGACATTCAGTATTCGTGATTCATAATGCGCTGCGGTAGGGCACTGGCTCTGTTCAGTTATGCCCTGGAATTAAACTCGTCTCGAGATGGAGGTTAGTAATATAATTGGATTAGTTCAACATTAGTCCCCCCTAGAGCCCGCCCATATACACACTAGCTCTGATTCTTTCGATTGGTAGTTTCTGAGCCTTGTGGCCTTTGCACACTTCTATAGGGGTGTTTCGCAATGCCGTTGATATCGCGCATTGTATATTTCAGCACCCTAGCGCTTTTAACACTATAAAAACAAGGAGAACTGGGTTTAACACACAACCCCCTAGAGAGTGCTGCAGCCTATGTCACAGGCATTCTCTTTCTCGAAAGAAAAACGTAAATGCATGACAAGCTAGGAAAGCAAACAACAGAGCAGCACACCCTAACCCCCCCCCCCCCCCCCCACCCCCCCCGGAAAGTAGACCAGTCCAAAAAAAAATTATCAATGGAACGTGACATAGTTTATTTGGGGAAACTAAAGTCGAACTAAATAATAATTGATAAAGGCTCTAGGATCGACACGTTTCTTGAGTACTATAAAATATCCTGGGAAATAAAGAGGGTCTGTGTGATTTGAGCCAGGAAATGATCATTCGTCGGTAAAACTTGTGCCTAGACCCTCAAGGTCACTGTAAGGGTATGTACGCCAGATGTCAATAAGAACGGTGCTTATGTAAGTGTAAGGGTGCGTATGCCCGATACTAATGAAAACGGTGCTTATGTAAGTGTAAGGGTGTGTATGCAGAATACCAATGAAAACGGTGCTTGTGTAAGTGTAAGGGTGCGTATGCCCGATACCAATGAAAATGGTGCTTATGTAAGTGTAAGGGTACGTATGCCCGATACCAATGAAAACGGTGCTTATGTAAGGGTAAGGGTGGGTATGTCCGATTTGCAATGAAATGGGTGCTTTTTGACATGTCGTTTACCTAGTGACCCATAAACAGTCGGTGCAGTGGTCGTCCTAACGCATGTGCCGGCTGGTAACTTGCCCAGTTGCGCCAAAAGTAAGAAAAACAATAAGATCCCTTTATACGCCTTGGGCGCATCGGGCATACGAGAAGAGCACTCATATTTTTACAGACCAATCGGCACTAGGTGGGTATTGTGGTTGGCATTACGTCGGCCGTCTTTACTTCCCCAGAACATACATCCTAGTACACATTTTAGGCTGGGTCGACTTGCGACGCCCTATACCATGAAAAAAATCCACGCAGCCATTAGTGGGTTTCGATCCCGGTACGTTGGAATTATGAGTCGGACTCGCAAAGCATAAGCCACAGACGCCGCGTGTATATCAACTGAGCAGTTGGAAACTGCAACGCTGTTCGGCTAGATATCCGTCTTGGGTTTAAATCCGCATACAGTCATAATTTTTTGTTTAACATGATCTTAAATGATTACCAGGAAAGGTCATGGAAAGTAAAGGCGGCTGATGGGACACTGATCACGTTACCCTTTATTGGTCAATCAAATTATGAGTCTAGCTTCATATGCTAAATACCCACTGCCGTCTTAAAAAAAAAAAGTAAAGGACCCTTTACCACGCCATCAGGCGTATAGGGCATATAGGGCTAGACCTACATTTTTGTAGACCAATCAGCACAAGATGGGTGATGTGGTCAGCATCACGCCGGCCGCCTTTACTTTACCGGGACTGCACCCGGTACCCACTCAAGGCTGGGTCGACCTGGGAGCCAAGGTCATTTTTGAAAAAAGTCCGGCTCCGCCAGGGAGCGAACCCACGACCTTCCGATCCGCGAAGAGCGTCTAGTCGTTGGGCCACGGCGACTCCCACTGTCGTCTAAGGGGATCTCAAATTACAAATGAATGGTTATTAAAGGGGCCCCAGCACACTGGTTTTCACAGGGGCCCATAATGCTGTTAAGACGGCTGTGTATTGATGACTGGCAAAAAAATAGCCTGCCTTCTTGATTACAATTCAGGCAAATAATAAAAGTCAACCAGTATTATTTAGTCCATTTACTTCTTCTTTCGTTTGCTTGAAATAATTTATCAGTATCTGCAGTTTTGTCTCTAGTATGAACTTCACTGTCTGTTGTAATTTAATTAGCGACCCGTAAAGTTTCGCCTGCATCTGTGTTTCTCTTGGCGACA